CAACAACAACAGCAGTAATAGCAGAAACCTAAAAGCAGGCGTTAGTTTTCAAGTTAAAATCAATCTTTTTTTTCATTTATTTAAGTAAAAAACTCTTTAAAACACTGTATCACAATCAAAAATTTCACTTTTTTTAATGACAAAACTTAGTCATGTTCAAACTTTTCGTTAAACTTTTTGCTTATGAATTTCTGCAGCAGCATTTTTATTTGTTTCACCTTAATTGCTTCCTTTAAGAGAAGTAAAAATAGTCATCTAATGAAGCATCAAGATAAAACTTTCTGATATATCCATTTCATTCTTAAAAGTTAGTAATGTTCAGCCTCAGTGCTTCAGTCGTTAACTTGACCCAAAGACGTAGATCACTGAAACTGTTTCCTGTTTCATACGAAACAAAAAGAAAACTACACTGTTATATGACTGATTTGATTCCTGACAAACTAATAGTTTGTTTAATTCTGCTGTAATTTACAACAGGTGTCAAGAGATAAAGAACAAATTTTTTCAAGTTAATTTCATACATTTCTGTTGTTTATTTAAACCTTACAGATAGACATAGAATTAATGTGCTTCTGCAAAAGGTTGTTCACTGGGAGCAGTCGGTACGAATAAACCTGAGATTAGTGGTTGTTGTCGTTGTTAGGTAGCTTTTCTTAAGCACATCTACAAAAGTACGCTTACCGATTGCTTTAATAATTTACTAAAAAATAAATAAATTAAATTCTTTCTTTTCTATGAATGGCAAAACAACTTTGAAACAGCTGATATTTTTTGAATGTTCACTGAATTTTTTTTTGTGTTTTTTTGCATTTTTATGACAATTATTTTTTTATAAAATAGAAAAGGTAACTTTTTCGGCTTTGTTTTCAATTCATAGATCTTTTTTGTGCTCTTTTTAGTTGCTATTCAAACAGTGAAGTTAAAGTAAGATTGGTTGACAAGGAAAAGAGCTGAACAACAGGTGAGGCTATGAATATTATCACAGCTTGCAACAGTTTTTGACTTATGTACTGAAAAGAACTTGAAAAAACCGAAGAACCGAAAAAACCAGAGAACCGAAAAAAAAACCGAAAAAAAAAACTAGTGTATTGTCAACAGATTCATTTTTTTCATAATGCACTACAAAATGTTGCTCAGAACGATATAAACTATATATTAGGCATGACACAGTAAAAATACACTAGTTTTCTTCCCAAACTGCTTTTTTGTCATAATTTATCAAGTTTTTTCTCTTGCTCCTACAGTTTTCTTGCATAAAACGCTGCAAATGCAACAGTTTCACGGAAATCAACGAAGTCCGTACAAGTAACTCACAAGTGGTGGCCGTTAAGCAATGATTCGTGCCTAACGAATATCTGATTCCGCTGCCTTTGTTGTCCACCCACTCGGATTGCATAGTTCAGCTAATCAGTTCAGTTAAAGGAATGTATCGTAACCATTTTAAAACTCAGTACTTTTAACCGAAATAAAGGCCGTTACATTCAACATGCAGTTGTCTTTAAAAGCAAGAAATTTTTTAAAGATAGATTTTGACTACAGTCTGAATTTGAGTTTTTTTTTTCTTTTACAGAGACAAATCTCTGAGTAGTAGAATGATGTGAAATTGAAAGTCAATTGCAGTACCGCGATAGAGGTCTGAGGGAGAGAACTGAAACTCAACGCTCAAATTTATTTTATCAAAATATTATTTGGTCAAACAATGTAATAGGTTTTGTTCATTCATCAACGTTAAGCTTAAACGTTTGATTCATATAAGTCTAAGTATTTAGATGCGAAATTTTGCTGCTACTGTTTGTTCACACGAAATATTCTCGCGATAGAAAATATGAAAACAACCTGGAAAACACTGCATAACATGAATTTGGCTTTGAAAAAAGTTTTTTATCATTAATTTAATATGCTCGTGCTGAGGCTTCACTGCATTACTGAACAACTTCTGAAAATTTTCCTTCTTGATAATTAGCAAAATAAAGTTCTTTAAAGGAGGTTTATTATCGAGTATTTAAGCCGCTAAACATGTCACACAGCTTTCACAGCTTTTTTAAAAGACTTAACATGCTAGTTAGTTTAGTACGGTAAAATCTATTTAATACTTTTGACATCGTATCTGTGTTTCATGCTAAATGGTGTAAATTTTTTTGCTCAGCTTAGGAAAACACTGAAGCGACAAAAATTTAATGTCTTTAATTGAAAACCAATAGCACGCACTTGGTGTCAACCATAACTTCATCGATGTAATCAACATTTAAAAACTACGGTAACGTGTTTCATAACTAACTTCTGCCTTCGACTGTTCATAGGTTTATCGCTTTTGGACAAAATAATAATATGAAATAAACTTTTACTTGTAAAGTGTAGCCAAAATCAGGAATTTTAAACAGTAATGCAAGTGCAGATCTCTGATAAAGTGAACGATTCTGAGCGAGATCATTTATTATGAGCAATTCGTCGTCTGTGGTAAAATTTACAAAAACAGTTTCCTGTTTATGAAAAAAAAAAACGAATAATAAAATAGGTAAAGCAGAAAAGAAAAATCTTTTGCAAAAAAGAAAACTTTTTTCCAATACAAAACAATTGGCTGCTATGTCTTCAAGTTAACTTTTATTACTTTAATAGTGATTATAAATTGGATTGCTTTCAAAAAAAATAGCCCTAAAAGAATTCAAGATATATAAAAAGAAGAAGCTGTAAGAAATCTACAAAATATTAGGATTTTTAAAAACGAAAATTTAGTTAGAAAACGTCCTATAAAATAAGTTATCAGCACTTTTATAAGTTGTCTTGGCTACACTTTTATAACTTGTCTTGTCTTGGCTCTTGGCTTGTCTTGGCTGTCTTGATGATCAGTAATTTTTGGCAAAACAATTACAATAAGGCAGAACTAATCAACAAAACTTACTCTCATCTTAAATATATGCAAATAAACAACTTTGCAAGTAAATTTTGTCTGGTTTGGTTACAATTTTTTGGTACGCCTTATTTGTTCAAATCATCAGTGGTTCCATAAACCTTTAAAAATTTTCTTAACGATAAAGATAAACCTGCATTTTTTTAAAATCGAACAATTTTGGTCTAACGGGGTGAAATATATTCATTGCCAACCGTATGCTGTTTTAGTCTAGTTGCTGATCTTATTTTTACAAGTGTTAACTAACAAATTTCAATATACTTATCCTCTGCGGCGACAGCGAGCTACGAGATTAAGCAAAGTTATCGCTTTCCTATATCTGTTTATTAAAAGTTGCTCATGCCTAATGCTTAACAACACTTCTACCGGGAAGAACCGTAATTTGCTTTCTCTGCTAATGTTGATGTAAGATGCATTTCCTCAAAAATGAACTATCTTTGTTTGTATTGATCGGCGCAGATTTTCGTAAATCGGTGGTAGGGTGTCGATCGCTATTGTGATGTTCCTTAGATTGTTAATTTCTGCTGTCAGTCGAATAAATTGTTTAGCTACTGCGTGCTAATTTTGGGCTTTCATTGAAAATTATTACTTTTCGATTCTGTTCTCAAGGAAAAATTTTTCTGTATTTTTTAAAACTACTCAGCCTCTAAAGTATTACTGGTCAAAAGACGTTTCTGTGTACCTGACCATCCTTTTTTGCCATCTAAGAAATTCTTTGCTTATGTCAAAGGCTGGGAGAGCCGTAGCTGTATTTTCATTTTCAGAACGGAATACAACCTTTTCAACGCTACAGTTTTTCTACTCCTTATTACCTCTTTTCTTATCACTATGTAACGAAGTAACTTTTTTCAACATTTCCTACACTTTTGCTGAAAGATCGTTGCATGTTACTGAAGTCGAAGTGCTAAGACAATAACCACATAGCTGCAAGACATTTGTAGTATGAGTTCATTAATTTCAAAAAAACACAAAGCATAACAGGAAAAGCACATTTTTCGATGGGCAACTAATACATCGAATTAACCGAAACGCTGTCAGGAGACTAGCAAATGTCGATACATGATAAATGTATAAGCTTTGTATTTGGCCGTTTAGCGGCTAAGGCGTCATTATGCAGAATTCAAAGCCAATTTGAGGTGCTCATATTTTTCGTTTATTTTAGCTCATTACTGCTGGGTTTCCAACTTAACTAATTTCAAAACTGTTTTTTACATTAACTTTCCATTCTGATGATATTGTGCCGCTTAACTCTTTTCTGGTCATGCTTTTTGTCCACACAGTTTCATATATTCCAACAATAAATTCGTATTTCCTACCTTAGTATTTAGAAAACTTTGCTTTTGTTCGCTTGTGCCTTTGGACCAGAACTACAATCAAATGACAAAAAACCACTGTAAATGACCAGAAAAAATAAATTAAACATGACAACAGTGTTGTAAAAATTGGCTCAAATAAGTACCCACTTGCATTTAACTGAAATAATCAAAAGAACTGAACAGCCTAGAGTGGTTTTGAAAGCTATACTATATAAGTGCTAAAATGCGAACTACAAACATCATATATTGAAGAATTATCAGAACCCGCCAGCTGTGTTGGTAGAAATTCTGTCGTTCCGCTGTCTTCAGCTTCTTTCTGAAAAAGCGTTTTTTTTTTTAAATTAACTCGCACTGTCATAATTTTGGTTTTTCTTGCTCTAGCGAAAAAGAATAAAGAAGGTGAAAGAGAGCTCGTAGGAGTGAGTTCTTTGAGGAACAAAACAAGCTTTTCTTTGTCGAACCAGTATTATTACTCACTATTACTGCCTTGGGTCATTAATTAGGTTGATATAAAGCTTGAAATATCGAAGTGGAAAGTCAGGTCCCAATTACGTATAATTTTTAGCCATTTTCTGTGTTTAATCAACTCAAACGATTTGGTTGTATGGAAAAATGCAGTAGAAATCTAAGAAATCACGGTTTTTTTTCTTCTGAGCTTTGACACTAAGAGCATAATTAACATTGAGGTCAGATATTTATTTTTATCAAAAACTAATGAAACTGGTAGTTACAGTTGATGTTTATCAGCTGATTATAGCGAATTTTTAAGATAAAGTTGAAACCCAACTTTACTACAGACAAACTGCTCCAAAATTCTTATACATTTTTTACTTCAGTAAAATAGGGTTTTTCAGTTTGTCATTTTGCATGCAATATTGCTGATTCAAATCGTTTACAGGTATTACAAACACCTCACTTGTTTACGACGTAGATCCCACTATTGACTTTCATATCTACAGAAGGTCATGTCTTCTGAACGCCGTTCCAGCGTTCAATGTTGTTGGAGCTCAGTGGCAAGCAATGCTGGTTGGACTTACTGGACTTGAAAGAGTTTACGCTTATTTCTGCCCGATACAGTACTACAAACTGTCATCATTGTAAACTCTTTTGAAATATCTTTTTGAGGGAGTCTATCACTTTTGTTCTTATCTACTTCTTACCATTTCGCGAGAACGATTACTTGTTATGATTTACTAAAAAGGTTGTAATGTATTATATTTTTAACTACTTCACGAGTTAAGGGTGGAAGGCGTTTATTTTGAATTAATTTGTTTGACAGCTTTAATCTAGTTTCTCCATGTTATCAATCGCATCATTGCAGTAGGCGGACGATACCATACTTGCTCACGGGGCCTTTGGTGCTACTGTCGTTGGCAGCTGGTATACTTACTGGATTGTTTTTTATTCGTAATATTACTGGGCCATTTCTATGTACTTTAAGTACTGCTTACGGAGGACTTTATGGGTAAGTAGACAAGATTCTGTCATTAATTTTGCTTGCAACAAAATGCATAGACGGCATTGAGCAAAAAAAGTTTTATTTTTATTGTTGTTGTTACAGGATCTTCCATTACACAGTAGTTATCGGTGTTACTGTCGTAGGGTTCATTTGTACTACTTTGGTGAAAATACTTATTATGAGGGCACGAAATCATGTAACCAAAGACGATGAAGCCGCGTCTCTTAGGTAAACTTGAAACCTTTTGCAGCTTCAAAAATGGGCAAGTTGAAACAGAAAAATTTGTTTTTTAGAGCAGCAGCATTAGTTGCCATCTTTTCGTTGCTATTTGTTTGCGTCCCCAACGTGCTGATACTTTGTCTCCGTTCGCATCTACGAAGTGAATCAATGGTTGTCTTATCCGCTTACACCAACTGCTTCTTCTGTGCTCGAGCGCTGTTAGACGTTGTTGTGTACTTAATTGTGGACGTGGAATATCAACGTTTCGTCATTAAGGTAGCTTTTTTTTTTGTTCGATTTAATAACCATTGCAGAGAGAAGTTCTCATCGCTGTCTTTCATATTCATTTACTCCTTCAATAAATATTTTTAGTGGTTACAAACTGCGCGCAGAAACAGAGCTGAAAGTTCAAAGTGTATATAGAAAGTTCTGCATTAAATTGTGCACTTGATTTAGTTATATTTTGAGTTTTTTGAATTTTTGTTTATTTAAATGATATTATATGAAGAATTTTTTTCATAAGAACCCATCCTTTTAAACCTTGACTGAATGCTTAGAAAATTTTTCTAAAAAGTATATCCGCAACTAAATTAGACTATGCTTAAGTACAGAAATATGAAGTTTTTTCGCTCAGAGTGGTTGTATTTTCAAAATATAAGTTAGCCATTCAACTGGATCAAAGTTGTTTGGCGAGGAGTGAAGCGAAACAGCAAAATATTCTATGTTTTCGGTGCACTTAAAGAATTTGAGTTTTTCGCAGAAAACTTATACTTTTCCGAGCTGAGAAAACAGTACTCTGTGAAGTAAAAAAATCTTTCATTTTCAAAAGCAGTTAAAAGCAGTTCAGTAGACTTCTGTAGCTGCAAAAGACGTACGACTAGATTAATCAAGAACTAGTGAAAATCAGGAATGGATGAGCTCAATAACAGTATTCCAAACTCAGGATTGCTGAGCAAAAGTTGTATTTTGCAAATTGTGTTACGGTTCAACTCAGCTTGTAAAAACGCTCCTCAATGTAATGAAGTCAAATATCCAGGACTAAACAGGGTTTGAAAAACGTTTGAAATTTGGAAAAATTCTACATTGTGACTTAGAATCGTTTATAAATATATTGAATTACAAAAATAAAATGTACAAAGCAGTAACATTTGAAAATGGAAATTGGTTGAAGTACTAAATAGGAGCAGTATTTATGCACTAATTAGAACGGGACTTTTTAGGATAAATTTTAGTTTAGAGGTTACCGTCTCACGTCAGTGTTTGCGACATATAATTTACAAATGTTATTTGAGATATTCTTAATGTTGGAAAGATTTAATGATTTTTCAAAATTACCTAATTATTTAAAGGTGGATATATTGGTTGGTAACAAATTACAAATATGGCGAAAATTGATTACAAAAACTCGCGTCATTGTTAGCTTTACAAAGGAATAAAAATTTTTTTGATAGGGACCTATTCTGTAAACGGCTTCTGCAAACATAATGGACTACGAAGAATACATGAAAAAGACAAAAAGACTAATCAATGCCACCTTTTTCAGTGCATAACGTGCAATCTTATCAATCCAAAAAGGTCAAAGGTACATCTGGTCTCAATATCTTCTCGAACGCTACCGTTTCTCGCAAATGACCGGAAGAGGAGTTCAAAAAACGGAAATTACCACTGATTAAATTGATCTGTAGACCATGCTACGGAGTTTTTTTAGCAACGAATTAGTATATTAATATAACGGAATTTTCCACTCAGAGTGTATCAGCAATGTGTGTCTTTCAGTGGCAAGACAGCCAAAAAGAAATTTTTTATTGTGGGAATTTGGATTAATATTAACAAAAGAAGTTGCTTTAAAGTTGTTGTTTACTCTTTTCTATGCTTTTGTTTAATTTTTGGACTAGAAATTTTATTAGGAGAAGAAATTTCTTTTTGTTTAATGTATTAACACGAAAAATGTACGTCAGAACTGTAGTTTAGGTGACAATAATTTGTTTTTCTTCTGATCTATAGCACTATGGATTTTTTTGTAATTTTACGCTCAGTCATTCACCTTGGGCATTTGTCAAAAGTCAAATTTCTGAATTTTTGGTTTTTGACTAGACAGCAAAGGTCGAACTGTTTTTGATAATCGTGCAGTAAAGTTGCATTTCTGGTAGAGTGGTAGTTGCTGCTCTGAAGCGGTGTGTCTCGGTGACGAAGGACAGCTGCTTGCAAACGACGATTATGAGTGATCTAGGATACTGAGGTTCTCTATTCGCTGTATTTTTTGGCATGTAGTAGTGTTTTTATTAGAATTTTTTACTTGTACGGGCAATTTTAATCATTTTTAACGTTAAAAAGTTTAAAAAACTTTACGTTTCAATAGAAAAGTTGATGACTGCTGTATAGCAGTAGCCAAAATTTGTGCAGAACTGGAGGAGAGCGTAGGACACCACCAGTAGTTATGTTCAAACAAACTTTTGTTCCTTTGAAAGTTCTGTTACTGTTTACTAACTACGGTAGCCTATAAAAACATTTAGGAATGATTTTTGGAACAGAGGAACGTAGAGCAGCTAAAGGCAATAACCTTGGCTTTGAATAGATTTATCAAGAGGTTACTGGTAAAAATTTTTTCAAAATTTAATTTGTAAAATTCTGAATGACGTTGGGCGTTATTAAATGGAGATGGCTATTTAAGGATTCAGTAATTTTTATTAGTCGTTTTTTTTTTTTAATATCGGCACTGTTTCCTTCATTTATACCTGCTGCTCTTCAAGTTTGCAAATGAACTATCTCAAGTTTGAAACATTTAAAAACATTTAAACATTTTCATCCGTGTGATAATTTTGTAGTAAATGGCAATCTGAAAGAGTGGTAGACGAAGGACACGGTGTTTTTTTGTAATACATGAAAATATCTAGTTTACTGTTTGCCCAATACTTTTGCAGATGTAACGGTTCGATTCGCAAATGTTTATATTTTCTGGTTTTTTACCTGTTTTCTTATTTTGCCATTGTTTCATGTTGTACTTTTGAGTTTGTTCCTCCGACG